TTAATGGAGAATCGCTGCCGTGGCGGTGGCCGTCGATCACTCTCAGTGACTCTGCAACTTTGTCCCCGCCGTTGTCCCGTCGGGCCGCCAACATTGCGGCGAGAACGGGTCGGAAGTGGTTCTGTATCGCGTTCCGTCATCCGTAACCTGTACTCTACGCGACCGTCGCCGCCGTTTTCTCGCCGCGGCGCGGTTCCCGATTCGCGGCCAGTGCCAGTGCCCATCGCTACGCCCGCGAAAAGCCCCGCACGAAGGAACGCGGTCTCTCTCTCTCCTCCGGGCCGTTTCGAGCAACGGTTACTAGGATGTGGCGTATCGGTGAGTTGTCAGGCAGGCAAGCACACCGTTCCGCTACCGAGGTTGCGGGTCAAGGTCGCCGCGCGAAGCGAGCGAGCGCGAGCGCGCACAGGGCTTCCATCTGTCAAACAGCTGTTCGCCCTCGACGCAGAAGAAACTTCGCGTAGTTCCGCGTCACGCTCGCCGCGTTATCCTTTGCTCGCCAATTACGCGACAACCCGTCGAGGCCCGTGCCCGTCCGTGTTTTCATTGCCGCCGATCCGTACAGCCCGCGTGCCTGTCACCCTGCGCGCGTCTTCGGCTTCGAATCTTCTCGGGACTGCTCGCCGAACGGATATTACGCGTTGCTTCGACACCCCGTGTCCTGGGGACACTTTTGGTGTACCGTGTCTCACGAAAATGCTACCTTCAAATACGCTTTTATCTCATGATGAACTTTCACGGTGTTCGTTGCAACTTCATGTACGTTTGTGACCTAATTATCGAGGGATTGCGCTTCTCACGTGGTTATTTGGGGATATTTGAATTATTTAAGGTAGAAATAGGCAGTGAACTATGGGAATGTTAGAACTGTGGTCGTAATGAGTTAAACTTGAATCAGTGTCTGTAGATTTTTGTAGTTTTGGAGCTTGAATACTATATTTGTTTTTCATTGGTGTATCCGTTTGATGAAAGTGAGAAATATTTATGCACACCTCTGGGATGTTGTTGTATGTTTATTCCTCGTGACGGATTGGTTTGTTTCCTTGTACAAATTAAAGCAAATGAAACTGTACACTGTTTCCTGCAGTACTTGGCTGCCGATGGCAAATAAATCTGGTATAAGTATTGTGGAATTGAATTGGATAATAAAAAGTGGAGTGTGTTGTAAATGTTTCTTGCTTAATTGAGTACCCTTTGAATCGAGTCGTTTAATGGTTCCAATGTGAATTTGATATTTCGTAGGAGGAGATGGATCGTATCACCTCAAAGTATTGGTTCCCGGTGTGGCTGCAGGAGCTATTATTGGAAAAGGTGGAGACACGATTGCCCAACTACAGAAAGATACAGGAGCCAGAGTCAAAATGTCCAAGTCTCATGACTTCTATCCAGGTATTTTGAAGAAATGCATGCGCAGAACTGTTATCCTTACAGAAATACAATATACTCTGCTTTACAGGAACCACAGAGAGGGTATGCTTGATAACAGGCAGTTTGGAAGCCATAATGGCAGTTATGGACTTCATTATGGATAAAATTCGTGAGAAACCAGATCTCACGTTAAAAACAACTGTTGATTTTGAATCTGGAAAAACCACAGCAGAGAGGGATAAGCAGGTACAGATATAGCCCATTTATCTTTTTGCATATGTGTTTTTATTGTATTGTAATATCAGCATTGATAATCGTCTGCATATCATGTTGGCTTGTTCTTGTTAGCAATGACCTAGTTCTTAAGTGTTTCATTAGTAGTCTACATAAAATGATTGATTTATTCTTTCAGGTAAAAATCCTAGTACCTAACAGCACTGCGGGAATGATAATAGGTAAAGCTGGGAATTATATTAAGCAAATTAAAGAAGATTCTGGCTCTTATGTTCAAATAAGTCAGAAAGCGAAAGATGTATCATTACAAGAAAGATGCATAACGGTTATCGGAGAGAAAGAAAATAATCGTAGTGCGTTAATGATGATATTAGCAAAAGTGGCGGATGATCCACTAAGTGGCACATGCCCCAACGTTAGTTACGCTGATGTAAGTGGTCCTGTAGCTAATTACAATCCCACAGGCAGTCCTTACGCTCAAGCTCCAACAAGTACTCCCACGTATACTTCTACAGCCGGCATTAACACAGGTAAGGCTCCAATAGTTTGAAACAAGTAACGTTTGTTTAGCGGAAGACGAACGGCGTTCGCACGAACGAGTGAGTTTAATTATCGTGATATTGCTAATTTTTATTCCAGTAAGTCTCTTGAATGGTGCTGGTCTCAATTTGAACTTGGACTTGGAAGCTGCAATAACAGCGGGTACAGCACCTGTAAGAACACAGCTGTTGGAACACATAAAGTTAAATTTACGGACTATGGGTTTTGTGGAACCAGCTGCTACCGAAATTTTATCAGCGTTTGCGACTCTTGCTAAGTATAACATTCTTGGGATGACCATCGGGATGCCTTCCAGTATGAGTTACCTTGGAAACCCTATGGACAGTACTACAACAGCGAATGGCTCCAACAATAACGGCGGTGTATTCGGGCCAATTGGAACGGTTCCTGCTCTCGGATCCACGTCTCCTACACCACGCAATACACTTGACAGATACGAGCCGTTTGATCCATTCAGACAAAACAACACAGCCGCCAGTGCTATTCATCTAAACAACAATTCGTTTGGCCTGGGCACTAACCAGATATCACTTGTAAGTAAGAGTCCTACACAGGTAGACGCCAACAGCAAGGAGACCAAGAAAGTAGACATGGAAATTGCAGAGGTTATAGTGGGAGCTATTCTGGGACCCGGTGGTCGTGCCCTCATTGAGATTCAGCACCTAAGTGGCGCCAACATACAAATCTCTAAGAAGGGCATGTTCGCTCCTGGTACCAGGAACCGCATAGTGACTATCACGGGTTATCCTAATGCAATCGACACTGCTCAATATTTAATTGAGCAGAGGATCAGCGAAGAGGAGGCAAAACGAGCACGTCAGAATGCCCTCGCCAGTATGATCCATTGATTTCAAGTACAGCACTTTTGTTCATCCCCATTATTGAGCTCCGTTATTCACCTCTTCGCATCTTGAGATGATGCTGCGGTAGCTCTCTTCTCCCTTCTTTAAACACTCGCCCACCACCAACCACCACCTACCACCCGTTGTCATCTATCGCTACATCACTATAGCGCTTGCATTCTCACATCACTGTTCATGCATCCATCATGGCTCGTCAACATTTATCTATCTTTTAAGATTATTACGATATATGAATATTATATGTTATATGATAACTACTACAATTGTTCTGTGATACACCACGTTACGGGGCTTTATCACGAATAACACAACACGTACCACATCAGAGTCACATAATATATCTAGTTGTATGGTATAGCATATTGAAAGATGGCATGAGTAAAATCTATTGTTACATTAGAGACGATATGGCGCAATTCGGCCATAATATTGTTCTTGGAAGATGATCGAGTCGGAGATGTTAGAAATGGGTAATTGTTTCGTTTGTGAAAAACAAATCTTTTCTTTTTTTGTTTTCTTATATATACATATATAGAGGCATAATCTAACTCGAACACACTCTTAGTTACAAGGTCATACAGAACTCACAATTGAATGACTTCAATCAGAGGAATTAGCACCCCATATATGTCTACTTACATTCGTTTTTATAAAAGAATTCCGCGACTTATTGTATTGAACTGTTCCTTGAACTACGAAATGATTAGGCTGTTTTAAGCGACCTTACTCTTGCTTAAATATGTACTGTTTGAACACGCTTCTCAAGTACAGAGCAACACCTTGGCAAAACCAAAGATCTTACATTTATGAAGCAGAAATAACTTGGCTGGAAGATGAATATACATATAAAGGAAGATCTATTCTACGTATAAACATATATTTATATATTTACAATGCTGGCTGGTCCAGCAAAAATGAATAACATAATAACCTTATTGCCAAGTTTTATTCTCAATCCCAAAGCCTTTATTTCTCAAAAATCTTCATCCATCTATATCTCGTAGCGTTTAGATTAATGTACACAGAAATATATTAGCGTCGAGTATCATTCTTTCTTACGTATGCCTTAAGAATGAAGAATTTATTTTGCTAGGATGCTGGGGGAAAAACCACTCGACTTTATCATTTAAAGAAGGTCCTCGAGAGAATAGTTTCCGTACAGTTAACAATACGACACTGTAGATATACATCATACACTAAAACATTTCGTCTAATTATTTTTAGTTTCAAGGTATATCAGTTGAATACAATTCGAATTTAATGCAGTTTTACATTCGTCGACACTTTTGCCGAGGCAAAGGCTGCGACATAGAAACCTTGTTTTCGTCATTCCTTTATGTTATAGTTGCACGGATACAGTTTTTATTATCACGTTGAAATATTTATATTTATATACATGTGTTTTGCAATAGTTTAATCATCAAGTGTCTTTCTTCCTAATAACATATTCGTTTATCGTTTTCCAAAAATATTTTACCGCAGTTTTTATTAGCGACGTATAGATATTAATCGATAAAACACATAGAAAAGGAAATGTTTCTCTGTTCAGTAAATATTTCTTTTCTGTGCAATTATTAAGTACCTTAAGTGTGAAGTATGAAGATTGAGATTATTTTATTACACGTGTTTACTCTTACATAAAGTGTCTGCTGTGGTCGGCAGTCATGTCATACATCCTTGGGTTCTGTATGATACTGCTTTATATCGGATTCTATTTAAGCCAACCAAATCTGTAACGATTGCACTTTGACATTGAATCAAATCATTAGTTAGAAAATGGATTTTTAGATAGAAATCTTGTTTATATTGATAACCCGTCGATATAAATACAGCTTTTACTCCGTTGCTAGATGAGAGGAGAATTTACCATCTAGTTATAACAAACGTTTCAAATCATTGTTTTTCGTTGGGGGGTAGGTATTAGGAAGGGGTGATATAAGGGATAGGCGGTAATCAATAATGGGTTTAGTTAAAATAATTGAAAACGTTAGCTGTAGCGTCAAATAAAATATATAAGTGTACATGAGTACAATTCATAGCTGGAGGCGCTGGCTCACCGCTCTTTAAAATAACTTGTATATTTATAAATATCGCATAACATGAGTAATAATATATTACACAGAGAGAGAGAGGGAGAGAAGAGTAAATATGTATATGTATATATGTATATATAATATATATATATATATATATGTATATACATGAAAGGTTTGAATTAGATTATTACAGAAAGAGAATTCGTATAT